AAAAAATCCATGGCGTTCTATTGGCATTCTGACGACAACCTGTCGTTCGTAGGTAAAATCAAAACTTTAAATTTAAACGAAAACTTCAAAACACTTAAAAGCACCGACGCAGCTGCATACGTAACCACAAAGTTGATGACCGGCGCCGGTGCCCGTGTTTACAATGACGTTTTGGTCGCTAGTGTCGCGAGCTCCCGAGAGATGGCGCACTGTAATCATGTCTGAACGACACTATCTAAAGATCACGCCAAGGTAGACCATGGTGTGGACATCCCACTTGCGCATGGTTGAGTCGTTGTCCATGGTCAACCGAGTGCAGAGTATCATGGCTGGGGAGATGGGCATGGGCATAGGTGATCACCATGGTCTAGGCAATGTCCATGATTAAAATTTTGGTTTCCTATGGTCAAAGTCTCAATTTGACCATGACAATCATGGTTTTTTTACCCTGGGATATGACGACGGTGACGACAGCGACGACGGACAAGAAGAAAACGTTCGGCAGAAGCGTATTCTACTGTTCGCAGCGAGGTCTGATCTCAAGAAACTCGCAGCGTCGGGGACAGCGTTCGATCCAGCTCCTGACATCTTCAAGAAAGTCAAGCAGCCGCAGAGACAGAAGTACAGGCGAATCAACCAGCGTTTGCTTAACCTGGTGAACCAGTACCCGGCGTACAAAGAAGAAAGACGCGTACTTGACTTGACTTCTTGAGGGCTTGTGGTTTCACTGTTGGTTTGTAACTTGTAATATTAAATTTGTAAGACTCAACTTGAAAACGTGCCAATTTGTAAGAAATTGATTTGGGGGACAAAACAAGGGGACATGAAGGATGGGTCATACTGACAAGGGAGGTGGGGACGAGTTGTCTTAGAGACGATTTTCATAGGGACGTAAGAGCCTGTTCCCGAGATACGTTGAGAGTTTTAGAGAGCTGAGATACGTTGAGAGCTTTGAGGTTTAGATTTAAGTTATTGTTGATTAGTGTGCACTTCTAGATTTGTATTGATATGACCTTCAGGATTAAACCTCGTTATTACTACTTGTGGTATATGATTCCCGTAGCCATACTCTGGTGGTACATTGGTACCTGGCGCCCAATTCTTTAGTACATTATAAAATCAGAGCTTTAGTACTCACTCCCATCTGGCTCTTGCCGGCACCCACAGTAGTAATTCTTTGTCTCTGTCTTTAAACTGGAGACGTAAAATGGTGGCTGCAAGAGTGCGTTGTGTTTTACAACAATAAATTGCATCACAAGTGTGCAGGTCACTGCTGTCGATGTTTTGGGGAAGATCCACACGACGACCCTACAGTTAAACTTATAAGGTGCACTTCTTGTCAGCACCAATTTTTAGGTGCATGGAAAACTACAAAACTGTTAAATAAATAATTCAAAGTTTACAAAATATAAACTGTTCAAGTTCTGCAATATTTGTAAAACGAGTTACAATGCACTCCACACTGGGAAACACATGTGAAGTGCTATATACTGTAGAAATTGCAGAGAAAATGTCCCAGAAAATCATTTGTGTAATATGTCTCGCTGGATTGAAAAGGAGAAGAAGATAGACCACAAGTACATTACTATATACTGGGACACGGAATGTACAACACACACCCCTGTAGAAGGTAAAACGGAGCATTTGAACACATCCCAAACCTTATTGTCTTATCTGGGACTGGTCCAGGCCCAACGACGGGCCCCTAGCCCGCCCGTACCTGCCCAGTTACCCGCCCGTACCAGCCGTGCCGGCGTGAATACTCAAGAATTACGCACTGGTGTCCTCTTCTTCTTATTGGCTAAATTACGCTTTTGTTTAGTTTTCTTCTTTCGATAGATTCGAATTTCTTCTTTTGTGATTTGTGTTTGAACCCGTTTGATTGATTTCTTACATGTATTTCTTCAGTATCATCTTCACAAATACATATTGATAAACCACAGATGTGAATCTATTTTTACATAGCTATCATTCTTATATGGGTAGTGGTGGCTGAGGTAAATATTTTCTAAGCCAGAATTGTCAGTTATCTGACTTAATTTGTGTAACTTGAACCATTTCAACAGTTTTAAAAGTTCAAAATTAACCAAAATATACCTTTTACAACTTTCTACAGAAAGAAAAACAGAAAAACAAACAGCAATTCCGGCGTAGAAACCTTTTAAACCACCTTTCAAAACATAAAACATAAGAAGACCAACTCTGTAACTTAAAATTTGTAACTACTTTACCTACTGTGTAACTGTGTAACTACTGGGTTTCATGCATATACCTTTAGGTGCATTGATACCCTCTACAATCCAAAACTTTGTAGCAAAGTTTATTGCCTCAGCCATATTCCAGCCACTTCTCCAGCCGTAATGAGCAGTATTTGGATATAGAACAACGGCTTCCCCTGGGTTCTGAACAACCTGTAACAGATTTTACCTAAAAATAAAACGAAATCAGTTTACACATTTGATTGAAACAGTAAGTACATACCACTTCCCTCTAACCACTGTGTTGTTGGAAAAACGGTCTTATGCCCCAAAATGTTGTAACAGGAAGTGTTGCCAAGAGCAAGACCACTCTTTCACAAATGATAATTCAACAGGAGAATAGCTCGGGGTGGAATCATAAACCTACATCAAAAGAGGTTTTAGAAACAGAGAGAGAAAACTGTAATAAGTGTATCAAGCCATTCTATACTGTCGGGGAGCGACACAGTCGTAAAGAGGAAATGCTAATATTGCATAGAACGCTCGCGGCGTTAAGCCTGGCCGCGAGTCGTCAGTCGTAGGCAGCCACTCAGAGCGGCGACAC